GCTATTTAGATGCATTTGTTTTTATTTTCTTAATCAAATAATGTTTTTGCCTGAGGTTCTTTTCTTATTCCAGATCAGTGGGTATGATTGGAAGACGGAGTTGCTCCAAATTTTTAATCTAACATATCTACCATTATTTCCATCTCTTCATTTGTATTTTTTATGTACAACCTAATTTTTTTTTCCTTAAAGAGTTTCTCTCAAGGTGTGTCTAGCTTCTTAGACTAGTTGAAGTACCAGCTTTTTCCCCCCATTGACGCCCCTCCACCCTGCTTCTGCTCACCTTATGTTAGTCCTTTTTGGTCTTCTTGAATGGAATGCCTAGCTCAATACATTTTTAGCATACAAAGCTGCTTTAGCAGTGTGTCAAAATTTTTGATACTTAGTACTTTCACTGTCATTTAGTACCCAGTTTTTCTTTATTTCTTCTTTAAACAGTCATTTAGTATATGGTATTACTTTACACACATTACTGTATGGTCATGTGTAATAATTTATGTTAATATCTAGTAATTTATAGGAATTTTATATTGTTATTGATTACATTGCATTTTAGTCAGAGATCACGTTCTATCATGAGTTGATTCTTAGAATTTATTGAAGCGTCTCTTATGGCTTACTACGTAATCTTTGTAAATGTTCTTGTTTGCTACAAACAATTGAAATTATGAAATTTCTCTCTATCTACATCCTAATTAATTGTTCTGTTCAAATATTTGTACCTGATTATTGCTTTACCTATTTTTTAAATCATAGTTCTGCCTGCTTTTGTTTTATATATTTGGAAGTATATGGAAGACATTCTCATAATTAGTATACCTTATTTTATGTATTATTTCTTTACCAGCATGTTACTCAAGTGTTTGTCTTATAATTTTTTTCCTGTATTTTATTTTTTTCTAATATTAAAATTATTATCCTGGATTTTTAAAAAATATTTCTCTGATTTGAATTTTTCCCCAACGTTTTTGCATGTTGTTTTTAAAAAGTGTTTAGTTGACAACATATTGGTGCATTTTAATATTTGTTACCATTGACCAGCTGGTGTGGCTCAGTGGTTGAGTGTCGGACCCATGCACTCAACGGAGATTCTTCAATGAAGAATCAAAGTCAAGAGAACTGTGTACATATAGACCTTATAAAAATAACTCATATTCTTTTAGCCTCCCGTTTACTTTAGTTATTTTTCCACAACTGCTTCTCTTTGTGTGAAAACATTTAGGACTTACCAAGTTTCTATTTTATTGTGTGTTTTTTTAAATTAATTTATTTTTGCTACAGATGTTTTTCCTTTTTCCCCCTCCTCCCAATCACTGCCCCCAGCCCCACCATTGTTGTCTATGTCCATGGTTACACATACATGCATATAAGTTCTGTGGTTTATTTCTTTCCAACCCCTTGACCCCTTCCTTTGAGGTCTGCCAGTCTGTACCCTACTTCTATGTCTCTGGGTCTATTTTGCTCATCAGTTTGTTTTCTTCACTATATTCCACAAATGAGTGAGATCATGTGATATTTTTCTTTCTCTGATTGGTTTGTTTTGCTTAGGATAATACTCTCCAGGTCCCTCCAAGTTGTCTTAAAGGATAAGAGATTTTTCTTTCTTATAGCTGCATAGTATTCCATTGTGTATATGTACCACAGCTTTTTTATCCACTCATCTATTGATGGACACTTGGGCTGTTTCCAGATCTTAGCAATTGTAAATAGTGCTGCTATGAACATAGGGGTACATATATTCTTTCTGATTGGTGTTTCAGGTTTCTTAGAGTATATTCCTAGAAGTGGGATCACTGGGTCAAATGGAAGTTCAATTTTTAATTTTTGAGGTAACACTATAGTGTTTTTCATAGTGGCTGTACCAGTCTGTATTCCCACCAGCAATGTACTGGAGTCCTCTTTTCTCCACACCCTTGTCAGCACTTGTTTAATGATTTGTTAATGCTAGCCATTCTGACAGGTGTGAGAATGTTGTTGTTTTAATTTACATCTCTCTGATATTTAGTGATGTTGAATATTTTTCATATGTCTCTTGGCCATTTGTATGTCCTGTTTGGAGAGGTGTCCATTTAGGCCCTTTGCCCATTTTTTAATTGGGTTCTTTGTCTTCCTTTTGTTGAGTTGTGTGAGTACTCTATATATTTTGGAAATTAACTCCTTATCTGATGTATCATTAGCAATTATGCTCTCCCATATAGTGGATTCCCTTTCCATTTTGATGATTGTTTCTTGTGTTGTGCAGAAGGTTTTTAGTTTGATGTAGTCCCATGTGTTCATTTTTTACTTGTTTCTCTTGCCTTAGGCGTTGTATCAGTGAAAATTCTGTTGTGTTTGTAAGTCTTCATTTCCTTACCAGGGATCTCATGTTACATAAAACTTATATTAAATAGGTTTGTGTTCTTTTCTCCTGTAAACCTGTCTTATATGTCTAATTTTCAGGCCCAGATAAAAAAAGTTTAAAAGGGTAAAAATAAAATTTTGCCTCCCCTACAGTATCCAATTCTAATGTTTCTACCTTCCACATCATTCTACTTTGTCCCTATTTTTTTTTATTCTTTTGGGTTGGAGTACCATGAAACTTTTTTTTCCCCCCAATGACAGGTTACATTAAATATTTTCTATTAGTTTCAGGTGTACAGCATTGTGGTTAGTAAATCATATGCTTTTCGAGATGTTCCCCTTCCCTGATATTTCCACTACTTGGTTGGCACCATACATAGTTATTTCAACATTATTGATTGTAGTCCCTATGCTGCATTTTATATCCGCATGACTATTCTGTAACTACCAATCTGTACTTCTCAATTCTTTCATTTTTTTCACCCAGTCCCTCAACTCCCCTCCCCTCTGGCAACCATCAGTCTGTTTGCTGTATCTACGAGTCTGTTTCTTTTTTATTTGTTTATATTGTTCTTAAGATTCCACATATAAATAATATCATATGGTGTTTGCCTTTTTCTGACTGACTTATTTCACTTAGCATAATAGTCTCTAGGTCCATCCACGCTATTGCAAATGGTAAGATTTCATTCCTTTTTATAGCCAAGTAGTATTTTATTGTATACACGTATCACCACATTTTTTATTCATTTATCTACTGGTGGGCACTTGAATTGTTTCCATATCTTATCTATTGTAAATAACTCTGCAATGAACATAGGAGTGCATACATTCTTTCTAACCGTTGTTTTGGGTTTCTTCAGATATGTACCCAGAAGTGAAATCACTGCTCAACATCACTAATTATCAGAGAAATGCATTTTTTTTATTGTTGAAAGTATTACAGATGTCCCCCTTTCCCCCCATTTACCCCCTCCTTCCCACTCCCACCCACCTCCTGCTTTCCCCAACCTAATGTCTGTGTCAATTAGTCTGTGTCAATATGCATATAAATTCTTTGGTTTAAGAGAAATTTCTATTATCAAAGGTGAGGATGTGGAGAAAAGGAAACCCTAGTGCACTGTTGGTGGAAATGCAGATTAGTGCAGCCACTATGGAAAACAGTATGGAGTTACCTCAAAATTTAAAAAATAGAACTGCCTTATGAAACCTTCTTAAATGACCTTGGTTTATTTGGTTGAAAGAATCTTTAAGAGCATAATATTGACCAAATCATGTTCTTGCTCCTAAATCTTGGACTGCTCCTCACTGCCTATTGGATAATATCTAGCATCCCTGGTTTAATAATTAGGGTACCAGTTTGTCTTAGACTATTTTGCATATGATTTTTATCTCAATATCTTCCCATGCACCTAATTTTGAAACCAACATACAGAATCAGAACGTCCTTAAAATGCCTTCATAATATGGATTAAAAATTTTACATTCCTGGGAGTCTTTAGTTATCCCTCCTCATTTTTATTGCTAAATAGCTCCCCCCACTAAAACTAGATTATTTTATTATCCTTTCATCTAATTTAGTTCTTAAGCCATGGATATGAATACTATTTAAAAACTACTTATTGAAGTAATGCATTTAAATTTAACAAGAAAGGTGTTATTATCAGAGAAATAGCTATTCCCATTTCCTTCAGGAGAACTCAAAGTAGAAGGATGGCCGCATTCCCCCATGAAGGAAGCACGCCATCTAGTGACAGCTGCACCTCACTACAAACTTTGCTTCTGAGGCCTGTAGGCCTGAAGATCCACCTTTAAATTTTCCTCAAGGAATATATCAAATTACACTTTTTTTTTTTCCCCAGATATAACATAGTATCATAGGAAAAAATATTGAATACTATTTACTTTTTGTAAATGCATTAAAATTAAACATACAAACCAATTTATTTGGAGTTGATTATATAAATAAGTTCAAGGAAACAAAAGGACCTGAAATTTTTATGTGTTGACATTAATCAGTGATGCATTTGGATCCACTTTAAAAGAATACATTTAAAGAAACATCTGCAAGCTTGGATGGATCTCTGATAAAGTGTGAGAAATTTCTTTTTCCCTAAGATAATATATATCACACACCCAGCAGAGTAAACTCTGCTGAGGAGCCACATAATGGTTCAGAGTGGCATAGACTTTGGAGCCAAATGGTTGGTTGTAACAACTTCCACCAATTGGAGCACAAAATTCAATTGCTTGAAACGACCATTTCACAGCTAGAAACATGGCAATAACAATACCTTCATTGTATGAAAAATAATACATGCATCATATTTGGTCTATAGCAAGTATTCAGTGAAAAGTGATAGTTTGTTTTTAATGATTATTTTCTCTTTATCATTGACAATTTGAACAGAGACATAAAGCTGTTTTTCAGGCTTAACAACTATTATTCCTAGGTCCTCAATTTCTTTCTTTATCATGGTAAAGAGTGCATGTGTTGATAGACATCATGACTCTCAATACCTGGTGAAAGATACCATGCTTATTTAGTGTTTGTCTGACAAAAAGAATTACAAAAACAAATTATGTAGAGAATACATACAAAAACACTCTATCTGCTATATTTTCAAAGCATTCAGAAAATGTAAGTTGTTCATACTTACAACTCTCCAGTTGCATTATGCATGTTTGCACATCCATTGGAAAATTCTTGAGATCCATTGGACAGGAGAGTGTTAATGTCAATCTAAAGGAATTCAAAGCAATTATTCTTAAAAGAAACTTATGATATCATATTAATGTCATATTGTACAGGGTAAAATTGGAAAACAGTGTTACTATTGGTGGTGACTAACATCTATTCAAATAAAATTTGCTGCAACTTGGGTATGTTATTTACTCTGAAACACCTATACCTTTACATAGAAATCCATTTTATGGAGAAAGGGAAGAAAAGCAGTATATTTAAACATCCAATCACATTTATTTATTTGTTTGTTTATTTATCTTTTTTTTCCCCTCTAAAGAGGGCTGTGGATGTCTAAGAGAAGTCTGTATTTCCAGGAAGGACCCTCAGAAATAAAAAACTTTGAGAGTAAGTTCTATAAAATTAATACCAAATGCCCAAAGATACACTTCCCCAATATCACATGGACAGCATAGTTGAGGAGGCAAACATATCCCGGGAATTGGGGTTCTGAACATGGAAAGGCCAGGTGCAGAGATACAATCCTGTGTGACAACCCTCAGTCATCTTTGTAACTGTATTAAAAAGATTGTCAATGAACATCCATCAGTATTCAGTAGAAGAATAACCTCTGAATGTGGAGGACTTGAAATTTCTAGGTATTAGTGTGGGTTTTCCCACTGTGGGACTAGGGCACGTCACTAGGTCTTATCAGGGTCAAGAAATGGCCCTCTAGAACCCATGTGACATCATTCCAGGCTCACCAAACAAACTTCTGATTTGGCTTCACACAACGCAACTTGGACAGTGTACACCATTTTCCTCCTTCTAGAAAGTACTTGAATGTTGGCATTCTAAACCATTCATCACTCTTGAATATGTTTTTTATTGGAAAAGTTTATTACCATGATATCATCAGGGATAACTAAGACTTTGTAGTTCCTGGGCCTGAGAAAAATAGGCCCAGATCTAAACAAACCCAAGTTTATTCAAACCAAGTTCTTTTCTGAGAACTCTCTGGCCAGCCCCTTTTATTGAAAGTATTCCCAATGAAATTGAGTATATTAATGAGCACCCTTGGCAGAGTTGTTTACTTAAACTTTGTGACCATAGGCAGATTACTTCACCTCACTATGTTCCAGTTTTCACATCTCTAAAATGAAATAACAGATTCACTCTGGAGAGATGTGAGCAATAAATTACTTAATACATGTAAAGTGCTTGACATACAATAAACACTCAATAGATATTAGTTATTAAAGATTACTAGTACATTCTAACATTCTCAGCCTTCCCTACATATCCCTCCCCAAAATTATATAGGATGGGCATAAAGATGACTGAATTAAACCACATATAAAAAACTATTTAAGCTTTAACAAAAAAAATAATCATCAGCTCTAGTAAATGTAACCACATTCTCCAAAAGCATTTTTATATAGCCCATGCACTTCAAGTTATAACGGTGTGTGTTCTACAGTGAATACTCTTGGTGAGATCTAATGAACTTTGAGAGACATAAATGAATAGACATGTGAAGCTGCTAAATGTTTAAGAGTCCCAGGAGGATCATTTGACAATTCATTTCAGTCAGAGTCCATAACACACTAAAATAATTCATACAGTTCATGCTTCAAAAGCAATTTCTCTTGGCTTAACTAGGTTAACTGAGCCTGTAAGTATGATCTTGTAGACTTGCAAAGTTCTGTCTTAAAAAGGCAATTGTAAAATCAGTTGGACACAATGTTCTTTGTCTTGTGAAAGGGTTTATTAGAGGTGCGTGCACAAGTACATTTTGACTGTATGCACATTAATTTTCCAGACATCCAAAGCCCTCTGGCCAGCCAGTTCCAAGTGTTGGCTTGGAGAATTAACTCGGTGACCTTTTGTACGGAAGTAAATAGCATTCTGAGAATCTTTGCCTGGCTCTCACCATGCATGTGATGTCAAATTCATATCCTGGTGATTTTTCTGGCATAAAATGAGAGACCTTACATAATTCTTTAAAAAAAATAAAAGAAAGTGCTTGAAAAAAATATTTGGAAAAGAAAAACACTAAAACTCGTCATAAATCGTATCCTGAAAAACATTTGTTTATTGACACTCTTTTTGTTTAAGACAGGACACAATTGTTTCTTTAACAGTGTATGAATGAAAAATATGTGTCAATTTGGTGGGTGTGATATTCAATTTCTTCATCAAAACATTACATATAAATTGTAATTTGTCCTGACCACATCAAAAGAAAACGAAATCAGAAGGCAATTAATCATATTCTACTGCTTTGGAAATGAGTATCTTCTTGTGTTAAGAAAGGACACTAAGTTCTCTTTCTGGGACAAGAGACATAAACAGGATATGGCATTTTTAATTTTGTCCTAATAAGTCTTGTCTTAGTGAAGTAGAAATGTTTAAAAAAAAAAAGATGACAAGTGACCTCATTAAAATTGAGTTATTGCCCATTTTTTGAGCAAGCATTGCATAGAGTATGGTATCTATCTCAACCATTAACTGAAGTATTAAAAAATGTTCCTCACTCTATTTTATGCTCTTTATAAAAATAAGTATTGCCATTAGTTCCTAATATTTCTAAATTTAGTGTTATAAGGATGATTGCTTCTCTATTTTTATCTTTGAACTATTATCTGTAATATAATAGCTAATACATCTATTGTGTTAACTATGTAGAGGCACAATTTTAAATACTGTGTGTGTGTGAGTGTGTGTGTGTGTATATATATATATATATATATATATATATATATATATAACTAAAAATTGCAAGACAGGCAAACTATATTATCTCTATTTTAGATATGAGGAAACTGAGAGGTTAACTCACCTGACATTACAAAGCAGAAACTAGTAGAGCTGAATTTGCAACCCTGGGAGTCTTGCTCTCAATTCTTGCCCTTAACCTTTAAGTACACTGCTTGCAAAGGCAGTGGGGTATTTTTCATGTAAAGTGGTTCTGTAATTAATGCGACTTCTTAAATTGTATGTTTTTATAACACAACAAGTAAACATTTCATACACTATTAGAAATCAGAGAAATATAATAAAACTTTAGAAAATATAAGGCATTTCCCCATGGTTTTTACTTGAGTTATTTGTGTTTTATTATGAGTGATTGTACAAAGAGTACCCTCCGCAGAGATTAGATTGTTGGAACACAAGAAGAGAGACTAGAAGTAGTTGTTCTAATTTTGAGTTTTGTCATCATCTGATTGCAGAGATGATCATAAAGCTTATCAACCCATCACCAATGCAATCTCAGCATTGCTGATGCTCCCTTTACCTCTTCAGAAAAATGTACAGAATCACATACAAGCAAAATTCTCCTTATCACACACATTTTATTGCTTTATAAATTGATTTCTCTTGAGTAAACAGTATCTTAAAACGCATCTATTGAAATAAGTTTGCTTTTTCTATTAAAAAATGAATGCCTGTCAATGTTCAAAAAATAAACACATGTTGTACAAGTAAACTTTAATTCGTTTCACAACTGAATGCCAAAGAAAGAGTGATTATTAGCTTAAATAAACATTGAAATTGCTTTATGACAAGTCATTGTGCATAGCAGTTTTGATGTAAAATTTCTTCCTGTGATTTGATTGTTAATGTAATAACACTTCTGTAATAGAATTAGTAAAGTTGGTGGTATCAGTATGTATTACTAGCATTAGTAACGTAAGCAGTAGGTAAGATTCAACTGGCTATGATGTGCTTCCATTACCATGTAATGAGGATATTACCATCCCTATTTTATAAGTGATAAAACTGAGGCCTAGATTGATCAATAACTTGCAAGAGGCCATACAAGGCTCATTTGGGGAAAATATCAGTATTTAAGTGTGTTTTTAAAAATTTTTGATTTTGTGTTTTCATTTTTTTGTTTGGCTTAATTTTTGTTTTCTTTTTAGAGAGATAAAATTACAACTTCAGTGACTATTATATGCCTGGTCCTATGCTAGGTGCTTTACATATATTATTTCAGGCACGAAAACTAATCTATAGTGACATAAAGCAGATCTGTGGTCGTTTTGAAATGGGGGAGTAAGTCAGAGTTTGAGGAGCAGGGATTATAAGGGGCATGAGCAAACTTTTGAGGGTGATATATACATACATTCACTATCTTGATTGTACTTGTCATTTCATGAATGTATAATACACATGTTGAAATGTATCAATTTGCACTTGAAATATTTATAATTTATTATACTTCAGTTATACTTCAATACAGCTGATTTTTAAATTAGAAAACAAAAACAAACCTTTCTCAAGTAAAAAGACTTGCTCCAAATCACAACTAGTAAATTGTGGAGGCTTGGTGACATCTGGGCAGGTGTACCAAGACCACAAGGCCTTGACTATTCTTTCACCTTTGCCATTTCCCAGGGTTGTTAATGCAGCTGCTGATTTTGAGAGCTGTGACAACGTTGTTTCCGAGGACAAAGATAAGGTTTGCTTGTAACTTGCTATAAAAGCAGTGGATTCCCCAGACTCAGTGTTGTAGAGCCATGACACAACCCACAGTATGTATGACATCCATCTGGACCTGTTGCAAGGTTCCAGTGAGACTTGAGGACAAGGGGGGAGTGAGACACACACCGAGATGCTTGTGCTGCTTGCTGGTAGTGAGTAATCAATTGTGTCAGGAGTCTTGTGTCCTCAGTCAGCACCCATTAAATAAATAATAGGCTAACTTGATAAACAAAGTAAAATCAATACCAAACATCACAGTCTGAAGTCATGTGTCTGGCTCCAAAGCCCAACTTAAAAAGTACCTCATTTGAATATTATCAACCTAATTATATCATTTAAAAGTTTAAATGGTTGTATAAAGCATATAAAAAACAGCTGTGCATTTGCCCCACCCATCCCTTACTACTCGTGATAGCTCCTCAGAGTCAGCCTTTCCTTAGATATTTGTCAAAGATTTACATTCATATATCTAAATTACTACATTATGCTTGATTACTTTTAATCTTCATCCGAGGATTTTGTTGTTGTTGTTGTTGATTTTAGAGAGAAAAGAAGGAGAGAGAAAGAAAGAC